TTTACATATATATCACCCTTTTCTATCTCTCTATTTTACACACACACACACACACACACACACACACACACACACACACACACACACACACACACACACACACACATTTGGACACACATACAAACGTTGAAAACGACCACAATATATAGTTTTTTATTTAAATTTTTTTTGGACTTATAATGTTTTTTCTATCCATACATTATATTTATAATTACCCTGCATTTGATTTTTATATGGAACATGTTATTTTTTTTTAACTGTATGTTTAGCGTTGCTATTTGTTACTTTCGAAAAAAAAGTCTAATTTGGTGATTTATAAGGTAATTCGGAAAACCGTTATTAACTAGCGCCTGTTCCACGTTGTTAAAATCTCTAAGAACAGCAGAAAAAGGATTAATTCTTATTCGCTTTATGAAATTTTATATATTTATATATATATATAGTTTCTATCGATTTCAAACATGTTTTTGTTAAACATATATATCTGGAGATAGATAAAATTATATATATACAGTTATATATAATATATGCAGGTATCGAATAATATTTTGAAAATCAAAAAACATAAACACTTGCAATATTTTCATCTCACCTCTCTCTTTCTCACTCTCTCTCTCTCTCTCTCTTTATATATATATATATATATATATATATTTTGTTTTTACATAAAATAAAATTATATATTTTTATTTAATTTTTATTGTTTTTATTTAATTTTTATTGTGTTTGTAGAAGTGTTTTCTTTTCTGGACAGAAAGTATGTAAAAACTGTCTAAAAGTTCTGCATGTCCGAGCGCTTTCAGTTATACTTGTAGGCATTATCAAGGATGATCTTATTTTTTATTTTTAACTGAATATGTGTTGTGATATGTATGTATCTAGAGTTATAGGAATGTTTATTTTCCAAACATGGTCAGCACATTGTGGGCATGTTCATAGTTAATGTTATTGAGTGTTGTTTTTTTTTTCGTTATTATTTCATTATCTTTAAACTTTTTTACTTTTGGGTGAGGTTATTATGCTTGTGTGTTTTCTACTAGCATGTTTTGGGTGGTGTCTGGTAGATTTTTTGCATTTTTAAATGATATATATATATATATATATATATATATATATATATCAAATCAAACAATGACTATATATACAAATATAATATTACAGAAATCTTATTAAAGAAAAATATGCGCCTTCCGGGAGTTTGCGAACCTTTCTCCTCCTTTTCCGGAGAAACCATCGTTATATCTGACGTGTTTCAGAGCAACTCGGTTACGAAGTGTGTAGCTGATCAATCGAGGTCGAATAGTGCCCCTCAACACACTTTTTTTCACGTCCCAGTGTTGTGTATATACATATTTAATTAGACAGTCCGTTTATCTTAAACAGTATATTTACTTTCGTCTACCAACCTGAATATTCGCGAAGCTTTATTAAGGAAAAATATGCATTCTCCAGCAGGATTTGAACCTGCGTCTCCTTTTGCCAGAGAAACCGTCGTTATATCCGACGTGTTTAGACCAACTCGACCACGAAGGGCATCGCCGATCAAAAGCAATGCTTCACAAACATTGTGAGTTCTTCTCAAATAACTTTAAATTGATTATATTAATTATGGTACTGCGTTATTCACAATAAGGTGATTTGTTAGGGAGGTGAATTCTTGATGTTATCCGGATTCAATAGACTGCTATCCTGTTGATTGGATATTGGACAAGAATCAATTATCCTTAGAATTAAAACTGTTAGATGTTATACAAAGATGGAGATGCGTAACATCTCCCTAAAAAAGAATAACAAACATCTGCATTTACTGCTCGAAACCACTACCCACCAGACGCACGCACGCACACACACACACACACACACACACACACACACACACACACACATATATATATATATATATATATATATATATATATATATATAAGAAATGGAGAAATGGACAAAGTCCGACAATTTATTTATTAAAGACATTTTATGTTTAACGTTCTTTTTTTATAGATACAAGTATTTAAGTAAATGCACTATTAGTATTAAATAACATTTACTGGCCTGAATGTCCGAGAAATTTTATATATATATATATATATATATATATATATATATAGAGAGAGAGAGAGAGAGAGAAGTTTGGCTGAGGATCGCAAAAACATGAAACCTAGGGTTAAAAAAGTCACATCCATACAACTAACTATGTTAGCTCTATCTCTGATATTGAGCACTTTCCACTAAGTACCGCACATATATAATATATAAATAATATATATAAATCACAAACACACACACACACACACACATAAACGGACAACACACACACACACACACACACATATATATATATATATATATATATATATATATATATATATATATATATATAATACAACTATTTAAGGCAAGAGAAAATATATTTTGTGTCGATTTTAATGATCGGCTTTTCCAAATTACAAATAATCTTTCTCAGACAGAAAGGAAATTCCGTCAGAAATTTTCCGAAGTTCATTTCGGGAGAATTGTATAAAAAATATGATCCAAGTTATCCACCTTCTTAAGTGATAATCAAGGTAATTATATACAATTGGTGAATTTCCTAGAACAAGTGAGTGTTGTGACGTAGACAAATAGTGTTATGACGTAGACAAATAGTGTTGTGACGTAAACGATGTGTATTTCTTTATATATCCTTTGGAGGATGCAGACTCTTAAGAGATATATATTTAACTTTTCGAATTTGTCGAGGGAAAAAGTAATTGTACAATCAGTTTTCATAACTCACTTTTTTAGTTACAAAGCCATTGTTGGATATAACAGCCCGTAAGGCGCTTGCCATACCTGTTGTCTACTCGGACTTTGCAACTTGGTGTCGAAGGTGGACATTTTATCAAAATATTCTTTATAAATAACTTTCAAATTCATCGATGTTTCTCGGGACCTTTAAATGAAGAAGATTTTCAAGTTTTGACATAAATTCTCAATTCGGTTCAGAGAATAACCTTACATACGACATCCCCATTTTGTTCTGAGGTTTAGCAGTATGTTTAGGATCATTATCTTTTTGGAAGAACCATTCATCTCCAGCTATTGTTTTATCTGTAGAAATATATATACACACACACACATACACTATATATATATATATATATATATATATATATATATATATATATATATATATATATATATATGTATATATGAATGCTTGTGTGTGTGTGTGTGTGTCTGGGGGTGCGTGCGTGCGTGTGTGTGTGTGTGTGTGTTGTGAAATGTGAAAATAGTTCGCCAAGTAAAAATACATGGCTCAATTCAAAAAGTAACTTGATTTAAAGAGGTGAATAAAAACTTGGGGAGTTGGGCTACTAAAGGGAATTAACTGAAACTGAGAATAAAGGGTTAAGTTTGAAATTCCAACTGAAGAAGGCCGGAGCGTACAACGACTGAAACACTGATTTGACAATAAGAATGAGGACAACAACCCGAACAATATAAATAGTGGTAATGTAAATAGATTTAATTATGCAGAACCAAGAATAATATATTTTGATAGTTTTGCTTAAGAGGATTCTTTTTTATATTTTTCGTAAAATTGTTTTACATTTCCAGTTTTCCAGATAAAATAAAAATCGTGATCCTGGATCTAACTTGGTTTGAATCAGTCAATACAAATGACAGGACAAATAAACCGGGCTATAAACTAAAGATGACGAACGGGATGCAACACCAAACACATTGAGAAGAAGATGGCCGGCAGAGACGGTAAGAAAAACTATAAAAATTCCTAAGTAAGGTAGTGAAGGAAAGCGAGAAGAGGGGATTAAACATCAAGTGCAAGAAAAACAGAATACATGGTTGTTAGCAAATGGATGAGACCAAAATTCAAATTACAAATCAGAGATACCAAAAATAAAACAAGTACAAAAATTTAAATATCTGGCAAATGTTCTAACAGAGAATTGAAAGTGCGACACTGAAATCCGGAGATGCATTGGGATAGAAAAAAATTGTATTCCAAAAGCTAAGCAGAGACAGAAAACCTCGTTAGAAATAATGAAAAGAGTACTGAACTATTGCGTGATGTTTATTCTCCTGTATCGTAGTGAATGCTGGACAATCTCCTCAGATATGAAGAAGAGACTTGAAGCAACAGAAATGAGGTTCTACTGTAGGATGCTGAGGGTACCATAGACCGGATATGTGAGCAATGACGAGATTTTAGAGAGAATGAAAACTTAAACTTAACGTCAATTGAGATTTCTGGGGCACATAATGAGGCAGGAAGACTTTGAAAATCTGATACTCACAGAACAGATTGAGGGCAAGAGGGACAGAGGAAAACAACACATAACATACGCAGCTTGAGTAAATGGGTTGTGAAACAAGTTTTAGAAATCAAAATTTATTAAGAGTTGAAAAGACGGGTAATTGTGGAGAGCTACGATCGTCTACTTCTTGAGGGGACACAGCACATAGAAAAGAATAATTTTATTGGAAAACTATAAAGCTCTACCTATCGTCAATACAATAAACTATACTGTACTTAGCATTTATCCAAGTGGCTTCGAAGAGAAGAAATAAGTGAAGACGTTGACAAATCATGAAAATAAAACCTTTTTTTTTATTCTGTAAAATGCCAAGATGTCCGCTACCAAAATGTAAGTGGCGTGTGCATTTGATTATGTAGATTAGAACTGATAACAAGAGTATGACAATATTGAAAATTGTTTGGATTTATAAAAAGTAACACGAGAGTGAGACTCTTGCGAATTTATCCCTCCAAACAAGTGCGGGTGGGTGGGTTCGTTTCGTTTACAAAATGTTGTAGTGAAAGAGAGGGAAATAAAAACGAAAGGAATAAATGAAGAGAAAAAATAAACAAGTATATTCTTTTATTTTAACTTTTTTCTTTCATCAGTTGTTTAATTTTTCTCATTTACTTGTTTATTTTTTTATGCAGTGAAAAATAAATAAGGGAAATTAATCCTTCTTCATCTTTATGTCTCTAGTATTCATTTCTTTTCTTTCCTCTCCGTTTTTCATTTCTTTCTTTCTTTCCTCTTTCCATTTTTATTTCCTTCGAAAGAACAGAAAATACGTTTTATCTTTAAATTATTCTCTTTTACTCTCCATTTACCTCTACCTTCCTTTAAATTTCTTTTTATCTTTATTTCTTTAAAATTTATTTCTTCCTCACCCTCTCCTGTAATTTTTATTTCTTTTCTTCTTCTTCCTTTCTTTCCTTTTCGTTTCTTACTTCTTTTCCATCCTACTTGTCATTTCATCTCTCCCGCTCTACTATTCATTTCCTTCTCCCTTTTCATCTCCAATTTTCAAGTCTTTCTTCCTTTCCCACTCTAATTTTTATTTCTTACTTTCCTTCTCTACTTTTCATTTCCTGTTTTATTCGTTACATTTTAATTCAGTTTTCTTTTCTGTATTTGTCATTTCATTTTGATTTTCTTTCTCTTTTTCTTTCTTTTTTTTTTCATTTTCATCCACCTCTTTTTCGTGATATTTTTATTCATTCATTTTTCTTTTCCATTCTTTTATTTTTCATTGATTTTTTTTATTTCCTTTATTTCATGATTCCTTTTTTTTCTTTCATCTGACCCAATCCTAATTTATCTATATATCTTTTGTTTTTCTTCATTCTTCCTTTCTTTCCGTCTTTTCTTTCTCATTCATTTATTTTTATTTACATTCCTTCAAACATACATTCCTTCCATTTCATTTTTATTTCTTCCTTTTTCCTCTTTATCTTTGTATTTTCCCCCCATTTTTTTCTTCCATGAGGAGCGGGCGCTTAATAACTCATTAGATTCATTTCAGCATTCCTTTCCTGTACTAAACAATTAAAAATATGTTCTAAACTACCATATGGAAGTGATGCTGAAAAAAAACCCTACCATCAATCTATTCAAATTCTCACCAGTTATCTCGATTTGTGGATGAAATCAGAAAGCAAAAACACTGGTTCTTAAAGTGCAGTAATCGTGAGAACTTCAGATGTTTTTGTTTCACATGCACACACTCACGCATATACACATTTCTAAGCGTAATATGTCCATAGACACGTACATAATCATGCACACACCAAATTCCTTCAAAATTTTTTCTTCTTAATTTGATGTAATTCTACATCAAACAAATTAAACGTGTGTGGGGAAAATTTAATTCACTTTATATGACATCTCCAATGCAATACAAAATTAAAAAAAAAAAAGTCATTTCTTTTCTTTTTTTTAACTATTTTTCAATTCGTCGGCCTTTAAAATTATCGATAATATTGATCCATTTTTAGCAAAGATTACAAAACTTTTGGTAGAGTCTGATTAAAATTCTCCCTTTTGAATATTTAGGGAAAGAAAGCAAGTTTCTAAGTTGTACCGCGTACAATGGAAACATAATCAAAAAAAAAAAAAAAAAAAAGAAAAGAAAAAAAGGATAATTCGCAGTGTAGAAATAAACAAATATGTATCGTTTTAAATTTAAAACTACTTCTGCTGCTTACCGTAACAGAGATGCTAAGGATTCACAGAATGGAGATCATTTCAAAACTACGCAGTCTGTCTGCATTCAGATATTGACAAACATTTAACAGAAATCCTAAACAAAGAGCATAGATAACGAATCAAGAAGTAGGATAAAATAATAGTCTACTGACTAAACTTAGAGAATGAAGTATGAAAGAAGAGAAAGAGACGGAAAAAGTTTTAATCCCGAAAGCACTGAGAATTACCACAACCAGATATTGCAGGGTTGTAAGATGACACGACTACCAGGTGGTGTGGATCACAGACCCGGTTATATGAGCATAGAACACGCTCTGTACTAGACGCAATTTCGTCTGAGAATAGTGGAATGAAGAAACATTGTGAAAGAAAACATTAACAAAGATAATAATAATAATAATAATAATAATAATAATAATAATAAATATCCAGAAACAATTGACCATCTTGTATCAGGTAGTGTTATCACCCACTGGATATAACATCCGTATTATAGAGTGGAAAATATCCAACTTTTAAGGGAAGAAAACTGCAAGGAACTGGATGAACATCACCCAGACCCGGTTACGGAGATAGGACCTGTAACAATTTTATGGGACTTTACAATACACACAGACAGAACAATCAATGCTAATCACCCAGGCATCATGATCAAAGACCACAAAAACAGAATTTCTTATTGACACAACGGTCCCTGTAGATTGTAATGTACCTTTGAAGATCTTCAAAAACTATCAAAATACAAGGATCTAGAAGTGGAAATCTAAAAGATGTGGCACATGAGGACATTAGTAATTCGAGTTGTATTTGGAGCTCATGAATTGATTGGAAAATGATCCAAAAGAGTCATTAAAGGGAATTCTGGCAGCCTATGCTTTAAAGAAATGACAAAACTTGTACTCAAAAGTACAGCTCACGAAGGGATTTATCTATCTAATTTTTTTTTTTTTTTTAAATGATCATTGGAAAATGTTTCTGGTTGGGACCCGGTAGAAAATGAGTATACAACAGAAATCAAAAGGACTGTGTGTACGTCATCCAAAACAACTGTGGTAAGAAAAGGGTGATCGCCTGTAGCATAAGGTTGAAATAATATAGAGCATCACTGGAATATTCGAAAACTTAAGGAATCAGTAAATATGTTAGGCCACAAAAATCTCCTGAGCTGAGAAGCATAGAAATGAATACAATATAGGAACCAGTAATACAGAGTGCTAGAGAAAAACAATAATAACAAGAAAATTGTAATATGAGCTCTGGTTAAAAGTGGTTACTTAGACATGAGGTTTATAAGTCTCAAAAATGTCCTCAGTGGATAAAAGTGTTGGTTGAATTCAGTGAGTTCAATACCTGGCAGAGGTAAACAAAAACTTGAACAGTTGAGTTAAAAGGGAGATAACTACTACAGAGATATCAGGAACACGCTACTCCGGTGGACGAAATAAAGAGTTTCAATCACCTGCAGGAGGCCGAGCGTACAACGGCCGAAAAGTTGTGAATATGACAACAAAGATGAAGACAGCAGTCCGAACAATCTAAAAAAGTGTAAATAATTACAATACCTCGTCTCAGAAATATAGATAGAAATGAAGTGTAGACTTCTTGTTTCTCTGCTATAAGCTCAGAAAATAAAGAATGAATTTCAGACAGACTTGATATGCCAATAAGCTATGACTCGGGTAAATTTAACCTAGCTCAAACCTGAAGATCATGAAACGTAAAAAATAAAGTCAGATAAACTAATTCCACAAAAATGTAGTGGCAAATGATGTAAATCAGTATTGGTAGTAAATTAATGTATAGCTACTGGTCTTTTTAATAATTTATACAAATAAAATGAAATGTTTCTTATTTAGACAAAGTAACGCTGGTTACCTCTGCTAGTAGTAAATAAAAGCGCAGATGAAAAAGGAAAATAAATTTTAACAGAATTAATTAGATATATTCTAATTTTATTTGAAATTTTTATTTCTAAATTAATTGATTTTTGTGACACATAGAATTATATTTAAATTAACTGTCAGTGATTGTTGAAATCGGCTCTTTAACTTCTGAAAAGAAAAAGAAAAAAAACACGCGTGTGTCCGTTAGGGAGGCTAACTGTATGGTACTTCAAGAAATATGAAAGAATCTTTTTACCCATGTTTTGGTGCTGGGATGACTGATTAAACATCTAAATTTTACAACACTGACATAAATATTCAATATCATTTTCATAATAAGTGTTAACTAATCCTGCTGTAAAAGGTTTTGTCATAAGTCTTTGAAGCAAAGAAAGATGATATGGAGAGAATCCATTTCTAAATGGCATCTTACGACTTAATTGCTAATTTTTCTCTACTTTTCCTTGGTGTTGATTTTGTTGCACTGTCTTCATTTTATTTCATATTTGTGTGACAAGCGCATCGACTGATCAAATGATCACTTCTTAAAAAATGTGTCCGGGAGTAAGTATGGAAGATGAACTTCGACATATTAGATTACAGGATTAAGTTTAAATTTACGCAAGAATAACGATCTCCTCTCAAGTAAGGTGATTAAAAGAGATTGTGATTAGTAATATTAATACAAAAGAGAGATTTTAAAATTTGTTGGTTTAATATTTCTCTTTTTTTCTGGTTATCACACTTAACTCCATCCTTACATATTCCAGTCGCTATCTCTGTAAGTTCATAGATCTAACGATTTAACTAATCTCAATAGATTTTCTTGGATTTTTAAAGCGTGCAAGACCAAAAATACGCAGTGTTCATATTACCTGGCAATGAAAGATTTATTGCTCAAAATTGTTAAGGGATTATTTATTTTATTCCAATATTTTCTACATTTTCGACGAAACTATGCTGATCTCAAGAATGATGGGTTGGCGACGGATGTCACATTAAAGGGCAATAAAATTAAAACTGAATATCTTAGAAAACATTTTTGTATTTTTAACAAGTTAAATCCTCTTTTGTAAAGCCAAGACATTGAAACCAAAACAAACGAAAAAGTTCAATTAAAAGCTTGTTTCTGCTAAGTATATAAATATAAGATCCAAGGATTTTAATATTAGATGAATTACCGTCTATAACTTTATAAAATGGTCGGAATAGCTATTGAAAGCACCTTTCATAAGAATTACAAGTCGGTCATGACCCATTCTATCCGAAAATATTGATAATTTACCAACGGTTGAGCAATTTTTTTGGTGAAATCAATCACTTCAGATTTTGCTTAGAAACTGCATTGTTACTTCAAAGGACCCAATAACTCGGCAACAAGTCTGTGCGCGAACCTTAATGTGATGTAAGCTATTCGCTTCTTTAACAACAATTGGTCCATAACACATTCCAGAGGTGAAAAGCTGACGTAATAAATGTCAAGAATAATAATGTCCTTATGGAAAGCATTTCATTTAAATAACGTGCTGGTGACGTACGAGTAGGTATATGCGATATTATGAAAATAAACAAAAACAAAAAAACAAAAATAAAAAAACATACTTGTAAATGAAAAAAAAAGGTGAGGGTGACGTTTTGTTACTCTAAGTTACGATCGACCGTTAACCATTATTATTTTTTTTTCGTTCTGCCAAGCTTTAATTCAAATTCGTTAATTAGGTCATTCGATTTTTCCTCTGTTTTCTTACTGAAATGTCATGTGCGTATTAAATATTCCAAGCTTTCTTTGTTCATTATATGAACCAGAATTTTCAACTGCCTCTTTCTGAATGTTAGCAATCAAATTCTTTGTAGCTCCTATTTGTTTTCAAATGAGCATCCATGAAAAAAGTTAAGAAGTAGAACACAGCATTATTAAAGTCAGCTCAGATATGGAGAGAGACTACTGGAGAACTGAAGACTTGATCTCTTGTAAAGCCATTAACCATCTTCTCTCAGGTTGTACAGTGTTTGCACCCACTGAATATAAACCTCTATAATGTGTCAGTATCTACATTGGAAAATATGCAACTTATATGAGAAGAAAACTGCAAGAAACTGGTATGAACATCACCTAGATTCAGCTACAGAGACAGGACCTGTAAAATTTTATGGGACTTTGCAATACACACAGAACAATCAAAGCTAATCACCCAGACATTGGAATCAAAGACC